CACGAAACCATTACTAAATTAGGTGGTTTATGCGGCTGTGAAATCCGAGCTCGCAATCAATATTTAAATAACTGGCAGCTAAATTATCCCTCTGACACCTGAAGAAGAACCATCATGTAGAAGCAGAGACACTGCTTGGTAGTTGTCCATGCTACCGGAAACAATTGAACCGCGGAAATTTAGTCTAACTAGAAGTTAGGCAGTTCTTCTTACTCCTTTGGCACCTCCGCGGTGCTCCCGCCCTACCTATGAAGCCAAAGGGAGGTCTAATAAAAAATCTATGCTAATCATCCTCCTCACCCTTATCTTAGGAATCACCCTCGGAGTTTTACTCCTAATTAGTTCCCTCCTTTACCTCCTCAAAATCAACTGTCCCCAGTGTAAAAAACTCAAACCCCTGCACCAAATCATTCTCTTCCACTGAAAAGTCCGCACCATCACTGGTCAAGCTTGCCAGCACTGCCAAAAACCAAAACCGCAAATCGATATTTCACTCTAAGCTTATGAACCAAGAACTCCAAATTAAAGCCACTCTGCTCAACATTGAACCTAAATCCGACAAAAACAACAATCCTTACTTCCGGCTCAGTTGCCAAGGCTGACCGCAGCGCTATTTTTACGCCTTTAGTTTCAGTCTCCCAGATGAAACTTTAGCTACTTTAACTAACGCCCCCCCACAACTTCATTAATCGCCAAGTTTTAATCACTTACCAAGAACTACCCAACCAAAATAACCCAGGCACTTTTTGTAAAGTCCAGCAAATCCAAATATTATAATGTCCCAACAAATCTACAAAAATGGCTGTTGAGGTTGTTTGCGAACCCGCGAAGACCCGGCCGAGCAATATATCTGTCCAAAGACCCAAGAACATTGAACTGAAGCACAAAAACAAGAACTTGACAACTTAACAAAACCACCAATCCTAACTTAACATTTTTACCAAGATGCCGAAAAAATTAGAAAACAAAATAACCAACAAATTAGAAACTTTACAAGCACTGCTGGCTAACCTAACCGAAGCCCAAGTTATCGAACCTGATGACCCCGCCACCTGAGACCCGGATACTCTTTATAATCTCACCGAAGATTGCAAAGAAATATTGGAACTATTAGAAAATAAAGAAGGAGCAGGTCTGCTCACTCTGATCAGCGATTGAGAGACGGAACAAGAAGATGAAGAATAAAAAAACCATCCAGCAGGTGCAGCAACTAGTCCAGTTGGCCGAACCCCGCCAACTTTATGTTAGTGCTAGTTTGTTAGCCAATGGCACCAAAAAAACTTGGAGTTGTATTATTGTTAACAATAACCAGCAGATATTAGCCCGTTTTAACAACCAGCAAGTTATTCGTCCCTTAGAAGCCAAAGCCTATGCGGTTTTACGCACTGTTTACTGACTACTGGAACAAAACATCAAGCAAGCTACTTTATGAACTGATAATTATGATGTCTGACGAAGATTTTTGAAACTAAGGCAACGTCCCCTCGCCACTGGCTATCAATTAGAACGAGAATTTTATTACAGTAAAAGAAGTAAGATTGCTTGGCCTTATTATCTCTGATTAGCTCGCAAACTAGTGGCTGAGCAGAATTTAGATTTAACGGTGGATTATTTACCACCCGAGCAAAACCCCGCTTCTTTAATCAGCCAAAGTTTAAAAGTTTGTGCTAAGTGTCAACAATTAAAGAAAATTACCCCCCGCAAGCGAAACTGTTATGCTTGCTGAAAAGCTAGTCAACAAGTGAAGTATGAAAGATGGCAAGAATGACGAGCCG